TACAGCTTGCCTAGTCCATAAAGAGAGTCCAGGATAGCCAAGATTATACAAAGAAACCCTGTCTCAAAAAACCAAAAGAAAGAAAAAAGAAAAGAAATAATCCAAAATGATATCTTCACCCAAGCAGCTGATATCTTCTCTCCATGCCAAGAAGCATGATCATAGAGGCACTGTTGAGAATTGCAGCTTCTTGCCCTTCATCAAAGGACTTGGTGGCCAGGCACCAGCCTCTGACCACAGCAGACATATCTCTTCTCCTTCTACCCTGGCCCTTCTGGGGACTTGATCCATTTCAAGTCAGACTCTGCACATTAAGCATGTATACCACACCATACTTGATGCCAAGCATGTTACACAAATAGTCCTCCAATCCTCATAGGAACCTGGCAGTCAGTACTGTTTATAGACAAGAAGCTCAAAAGGTTAAGTGCACATTCAAGATCACAGAGCAGGTGAGCTGTGTACAGAACACGCTTGCAGTCTGAGTTCACTGCTTCACTACTCAACGCTGCACTCGTCCCTACTCACCCCTTTTTCATCACTGCATTCTCCTGTCTCCTCCACAAGGCAAGTAAGGGGTATGCAAACAATGTTTATTGAACAAATAAGTGCCCATCATTCCAAGGGGCCACCTGAAACAACGCTGGCGGTCAGGTTCTCTAGATTCCAACTCAAGTCTATGCATCTATGTAGAACACCCCTTCTGGACACAGTGCTGAGAGAAGCTGAGGTGCTGGGCTTTGCTCTGGGTTTGCTCAGCCTTGCTAGTCATCCGTTAAGCAGGTTCAGAGAAAACAAAACCCTACCTGGACGCAGGAGCTAGAAACTCTCACACTAGGCAAGCTTGTGGTGCTGAGGAAACAGGAAGAGGTCTAAGATACACATGGCAGGAATGGCTAGCTCTGGAGGTCCAGGCGCATGCCCTTGCTGTTCTCTCACTAAGAGTGCCTAGCCAGCACAAAGGAATCCCTGAGGATGTCTGCCTAATGTTCTTAGGCGCCATGGGCCTACCCTCAGAGTAGGCCTCTTGGTACTGCATTCCTCGCCAGTCAGATGCCCAAAGCTACAGAGGCCACACCCTAGCAACCACAGTATACCTTTAGAGTCCCCACCTAGAGCTACTGTGCCAACAGTGGTCCTCAATTGGACAACCTCACTAAGCATGAGTCTGAACTGCCTCACCAGAGACACTATATGGAAAGCTACAGAGCCAAAGTCTTAGAAGGCTGGCTGCAGATGTTCAAGAGGTCTTTACCGTAAAAACCACCTGAACGTAGAGGTTTCTCTTCACAAGGAGAAACAAAGGCTAAAGAAAACATGAACCCAGGGCCCACTGCCAACATAACCTGAGAGCAGGACTGGTTAGCAGTCAGAGTGAAAAGTCTCTTTAGCATTGGGCAGGAAGTCTATAACTGCTTTTAACTCACTGAAATTCTGCAACAAAAATGCCAAACAGCAGCCTGACTCCGGTCACACCACCACACAATCAAACAGAACCAAAACACTTTCCGCCCCTTTCAAGCCAAGCTGCTGCCTTAGACATCAGAAGATGCTGACTTGTTTTACAAGTGTCAAAGCGAAGGAACACAGAGTTAGGAGATGGCAGTGTCCTTCAGGGCCATGGCACTCTGAGGGCAGTGGTAGTCTTTCTCCCCGGTGTGGCTTCAGACAGGGCTATTGAACAAGAGACCAGGTTGGTAGGGACCCAACTGGCAACTCAATCCTTTCCATAAGCTACAGGAGGCAGCAAGGATGGGAACCCACCAAGACAGTGAGATGCAAATAGGCAGAGGTGGGGCAGGGTTTCAGTGGAAAGCTCCATTCACAAGGTGTGAACTCCACACCAACTAGTCTGCCAACCTTCAATCTGGGCCCCCAAAATCAAACGGCCAGACCAATGAAAACCTGCAGATCTCAGGATGACCTTTTAGGTCTGGGAAAATGAGGTCCTTTGTATTCCTAAGTCAAACCCACAAAGAACTGAGTGAGACAAAATGGACTAGCTGGTTCTCTCTTCAACCTCTTCTTTCTGTTCAGGCCCCAATTTACAAAGACGTCCAATGTACAAAACCAAACATTTTCTCTACAGAAATGTGTCCTACATGATGGCTAAGTGGATGGGTAACTGATGTGCGGCAAAATAAAATGGTTTCCTCTCATCTACTAGTAATGAGTTAAGTAAAAAGACAACTTCTCTCGGCCCTCCTCCCTCCAAGTCCTTTCTTTCTCTTAACAGCCACATTAGACATCCCTCAGAAGCCCATCCAAGGGTCTAGCAGGACAAGCATCATCAACCATAACTATTGCTACTAAGAACTGGTTTTTAAACATCTGCAATGTCTCAGCTCACATCTATTACATATTTGGTTTAACCCTTACTTTCCATCAGCTATCTCATTTCCATTTATATATAAACATACTTTTAGGAACTTACAGAGGAATAGCACCTGAGAAGGAAAGTACCTGGCTGGGTGACATGCAGCTAACATACTGGCTTCAAATGCAAACCTGTCTTCAACTACTGGGCTTACTAACAATCAACTTACCACCTACTGGTAACACACATGGTTTAGAATGCAGCTGTTACCAAGAGCTACCTACCAGGGAACTAACCTCACCACTTAAATACAGGAAATACTAGAAATGTAAAAAAGGTGGCCACACTTGCAACCTGAAGTCTGAGTGATGTTCTTAGGACCACAGGAACTGCCTGCAGTCCCATCCCCCAACACTAAAAACCAGGGTTTCTTAAATCACTGAAATGTTCTTCCAATGAAGGCCAGGGCTGATGGGCACTGATGATGGTTAGGTGACAATTCTGTTTGGCAGCTGTTTTAGATGTGAAGTTTGCAGTTGAGGATGGCTGCCTTACCACAAAAACCTTCCTTCCTCCTCATCTCCTCACCCATCTACACACATGCACACTATACCCAGGAAGATCTGTGGGACCGTCTGTCTGTTACTTCCTGACACCCCCACTCTCTAACACAGACCTGGTTCTGAGACTAGTTCTTTCCAATTATAGTCTCTTTGGGGGTCCCTGCAAGAAGCAACTCAAGTCTGGAGTTGTGAATACATTATCTCTTCAGCTGGGAGGACAGAGCCGAATGCCCATCCAGCCTCACACCAAGGAAAATGACAACTCAGAAAGAGCTGGGGTTTCTCAAAACCCCTTCTTTATTCCTCCCACCAGAGACTTGTTTTGTGTAAACCCTCCAAACTCGGGCCTGGGAAGGCTAAGACATGAGACCAGGCGAGCACTCTGGGCTCCTCTGTAGTCAACAGAACATCCAACACAAAGGGCAGAACCCCAAACTGGCCTTCAGCTCCTAAGAGAAGTACCTAACCTCAAGGTCCGGAGAACCTTTCTGAATCCAAGCTTTTTGTTACATGCTTGCAAGGGCAAAGTGGTAGTTTTACCAAGAGCCCCAGCTGTGGCTCTGGATGTATGCCTATCAACACAGACCTCCAAAACTCAGATTTGGGACAAAATAAATAAAGCATCCAGGGGGACAAAAAAGCAGCCATTATTTTACTTTGGCTTTTCTACCCCATCCTTCCAAAGGACCACGTTCTTCGTATCTCCAAAAGGGAGATGAGGAGGCCCGCTTTGCTCCAAAACCAGCCCTTCCCCAACATTTGCCTAAGTTCTAAATGGGGATTCCGAAGGTGCCTGTGTCCATAAGCCCATCCTGGAGCTCTCAATTTCAGACAACACTCTCTGGAAACACAGCAGTGGGCAAGGTCTTGTCGGTTCCCCAGGTTCCCCGGATGGATGAGGGGTCCCTGCCTTAGCTTCCCCTCACCGATGGTGACAGCGGACCGGTTCTAGGGACCAGAATCCCGCTCCACTGGTCCAAACAGTGAGGACTTTTAGGCCTCAGGGCAAAGTGCCTGGAACACTCCCCGCTGCTGGGGGACGGGGTGTCCTATCAGGTGATCCAAGACCCGGATGCCCCCCGCCCAGAGTGATCACCAGGGACTAGGCGGAGACGGGGCGCGAGGCCCGAAAGTTTGCCCAAGTGTTCGGGAGGCTGGCGGGCTGGAGGGGCCGGCCGGACAGGGGCGCACTTACTGGACCCCTCGATCTTGTCGGCGCCGCGACTCCATGTGATCTGGCGCGTCTCCAACTTGACCTGGAAGGTCTTCCGCTCCGGCCGCTGCGACTTCTTGGAGTAGAACAAAGTCATGACGGTGCCCACCTCGAGGCTGCGGCAGAGGTGCAGCACCTCGGCTTCGGAGGGCGCGCCGGGCCCGCAGCCATTGGCGCAGGGGGTCGCGGCGCCCGCCATGCTGCAGCGACCGCGGCGACGCAGGCCGGCGGGCCCGGGGCGGCGGAGGCGGAGGCGGAGGCGGAGGCGGCGGCCCGGGAGGCGCGCGGGACCCGGTGGCGGCTCCTGCGGGCGGACACGGGGCGGGGACTGAGCGCGGGGGCGGGGCGGGGCGAGGCTCCGCCCTCGGCACGCCGGGAACAAAGGCGCTGGTGGGGGCGACCCCCGCCCGCCGTCGCGCCTGCGCCCCGCGACCCGAGGCAGGCCGCGGCGGGCATACCTACACCTCGGTCCCGCAGAGCGTCCCGCGCGCGGGCCCTGACACAGCGCGGGCCACAGCCGCCCGTCACGCACGCAACCCCGCCCACAGGCTGCGGCCCGTCCGTCAGTCGGACGCGAGCACGAGTCTCCGTCCCGCACGGGCCCCGCCGCGGTGTGCAGGCCGCCCGGGAAGTGAGGGTGAGGCGCGACCCCCGGCCCGCCCGCCGAACCCGGTTACCTGGGCGGGCTGCCTGGCGGAGGGAGCCGCGCCAGGCTGGCCGCCTCACACCCGCGGCGGCGGCGGCGGCGGCGGGGGCGGGCCCTCCGCGCACCCTCTCCGGGGAGGGGCGCGCCCGCGGATTGGCCAGCGGGCCGTGAGTGACAGCATGCCCGCCCCTCCCTTTCGCCACAGGCGTCTCTTGCGAGGGCTGAGCAAACCAGTCTTGGGGTGGCCTTCGAGGGCGTCCTCGCGGGAAGAGGCCCGGCGGGCGCGGGCGGGCCCCTCCGATGCGGCCCCCTGGCCTTGGAGGCGTCTCGCGTGGGCTGCTGCTCGCCTCACGCTCCGCCGGCGCCCTACCTGCAGATACTCGCCAACGCTCTGGGTTTTCCCCAGCTTTGCCCCCCCACCCCCTTCCCGTGCTGATCCCTCCTGGCCCCAGAAACTTGCTTTCCTCGGGACTCAGGGCTGGGCCAGTTGCTCGGTCGAGCCGACCCTTCGGGGGGCTTCTCCTCTGCGTAGACCCAGGTGACGCCAATCCTGATCTCCCCCGACCTCCCTCCCGACCCTGGCATCTTGTTATCTGCGCCACAGCCTTGCCATCCTCATCACATGGCTGCTTTCCCCTGCTTCATCTACGTGGCAGTAAACAACTTGAGTTGGGAAGGCCCCACACCTTGCCAGGAGACTTTTTTCTCCTGTTTCTCCCCTAGATAAATACACCGAGGCTCTCCTTTTCTGCTGTTGCGGCTCTCTCCACTCTAACCCATGATCCTGAGGCCCCATCTCTATTGGGTCTTACCTGCATTTGTGCTTCAGGATTTTCCACTAAAATGGAATTAAATCCTGATCCTTTGATCATGCACGTGAATTCCACTGCAGTTCAAATCAGCACTCCCTTCATGGCCCAGTAGTCCTGTCTTGCCTTCCCTTGTCTCACCACTGACTTTCGCTGCATTTTTCAGACACGACACCTGTCTGTGACTGTTGAATAACTTAAAATCAGACTTCTTAAAGCAGTTCTCTGAAGAGCATCCGTAAACACTAGGGCATCCCTTGATCATGCTGTCTGACCAGTGATGAGCAGACATCTGGGCAGCAGCTACCATGCAACTCTAGCCGGCTATCTGCATTTCAGAGGTGAGGAGTTCCACAGGGCACCCAGATTGCAGAAAAGTTTCCCTGGGATTCGTGAGACTAGAATTTGTGAATGTATGAGTTCAGACAACTCACTAAGCTGGGCCACCTCCAGCTTTGCCATGCTGCAGTGGTGAAAAGCTTGCTGTTTTCCTTGAATGTGGTCCTCAAGAAAGTCAATTCAGTGTAATATTGAGGACCTTTGTCCTAAGGGATTGAGTAGTTGAGATGGACTGACTGCCACCTAGTGACTGGCCTTTAATGGAGGAGGGAGGGAACTGGAATTGACCCAATTGCTTGACCCTGGCTTGAACAGCTGATGCTCATAATTATCCTCTAATCAAGGTTTCGGAGCACCACGACTTGAAGTAAGACCACATAACAACTGGGAACCTGAGTCCACTTGTTTCTCTTCCACAAAAGAGCCACTGGCTGAGGTAAATCCTGGTGGTCATCTGCTGGCTGACCAATCATTGTAGGTAAGAGGAAGAATATCCATGTCTGTAGAACTTCAAGAGAGGCCAAAGAATGTAAGATCAACAGATTCATTTTTTAAGGGTGGGCTAAAGGAAAGTAGTTTCCATGCAAGAGTAAGAGCATGTACAAAGGCTCTGAGGCCAAATGGATCCTGGGGTTTACTCAGTAGAAGGGAATGATGAGACTGAGAGGGCAGATGGGGCTGGGTAGGGCCTTCCCTGCTTGCCTGGTCTTGTCAGTTCTCCCAGAAGGCACCTGGGAGATTACAACATTTACAGTTAAATGTTGTAATCATTGCTGAACTTTCTGTGCCAATTCCAACAGCCTATAGGCTTCAATGCACTTTTAAAATCTATTTTCTGGGAACTTCTCAGTGTCCAGCCCAAACCTTTTGCTCCTGTGTCTGTAGTAAGACCCCCCCAAGGGCTCCGTGAAGCTCTTATCTAACAGCAGTTTTTTTTTCCAGGCCTGTAATGGGGAACAGAGCCCCCATTAGCTTCCCAGGCCTTAGGTGTCTCCTTCCACCAAAGGAAGCTTTGGAAAAGTAGGGCACACACAAGGTGTGGCCAGCCTGGGCTTCCCCCAGCTCAGCATATATAAGGATGAGTAGATGTCACTGGTAATGTTTATACATTTGTGCTGTTTGGGAGGAGCAGCCCTATCGCCCACACAAGGCACTCACCTTTGACATCATCCAGACTAACCCTGCTTGGGGTTTATTTCTGGAAACACTCATGCTTCAGCATGCCTTAGCTTATACCAAGCCTGTGCCTGGGGTGGGAGGAGAGACTGACTGCCCCTCTGGCCTGTGGACTTGATCTCAGAGACAATGTAGAACAGTGCTAAGCATATTGTGAACATGATATAGCTTGCTTTATTTATATTGGCTCATTACAGCTCTTTAAGATTCTCTATTAATCCCATTTAACAAAAACAAAACAAAACAAAACAAAACAAAAACAACAACTGAGGCCTTACTCGGCAGTGTACACTCCCACGTTCTAGGACTTTGGAGGCTGATGCAGGAGGATCTCGAGTTTGAGGTCAGCAAGCAAGCTTGGCACCTTCCTAGGGTCACACAGCCAGCAGGTCCAGAGATAAACACTAATCCAGGCAGCCAAGATTCTGTCAGTGCTGTGCTGACCACCAACTTTCCCCCCCGTATTTTCACCACTTTCTGAACATTACTACCAGCTGTTTGTTTTGTTTTCACAGTGTGTGTGCATGTGTGTATGCATGTGTATGCATACCATGGCACGCATATAGAGGTCAGAGGAAAATTTCTGGGAGTTGGTTTTTTCCTTCTACCATGTAGTTCCTAGGGATTGAATTCAGGTCATCAGGTTTAGCAGCAAGCACCTTTACCCACTCATCTGTCTCACTATCCCTGTTTTCTGTTTTTAGTTATTTTAAGCCTGTTTGTCAAAATTGGGTTTTGTTTTGTTTTAGACAAAGTGTCTGTAGCCCAGGGTAGACCCGAATTTAGCAATTTTCCTTGCTCTGCCTCTCAGCCTTGCTGGGATCACAAGTGGGAGCTACCATGCCTCCTGGCTAGGTTGGGTTTTGTTGTTGTTGTTTTTCTTTTAGGATGCTGACTCTGATAGGTTAGAAAGTAGAATGCTTATTGGGAAGCAGTCCTAAAGTCAGCATTGTGGAGCAAACAGGAAGGAAATAGGAATGCATACAGCCTCCACCAACCTACAGGGATCTGTGTTCTTCAGTACATGCTTGGAATGGATGTTCATTGTTCTGGAAAAAGTTTATCCTCAGTCTCATGGCTCTTTGTGATCTTAGGGACTGGCAGCTGTTTTTCTGTTTCTACTTCTTCCAGAAGTAATGACAAGTTTTCCTTTGAGTGGGAAGCAGGCACACTGTTATGTTTACTGCATTTTTTTTTTTTTTTGAGGCAAGGTCTTGTGTATATAACCCAGACTAATTTTAAACTTGGTCTCTCCAGCCTCCCAAAAATTGAGATATCCAGTAGACACCACCATACCAAGCTCGTTAAGAAAACAGAGTACTTAAACACAAAAGAACAAAAATGCCATGTTATTGAAATGAGAGATGTGGTTATAAGAGGGATCATAATATGGTTGCTATAAAGCTGATTGAGAATGTGGCTAAGCTGAAGCAATAACTATTGATGTTTGATAACTGAGTCCTCGGAAAGAGGATAAGATTTTTCTGGAATTATTAAAAAAAGATTCTCACATGGATATGTATTTGATTAAGAGGGTGTTCTCAGCAGGCTAGTACCAAGTACTAACACACTTGTAATTTGTTCCTCTTGAGCAACTGTAGAAGTCATGAATTAAAGGCATAGTTTAGTGATGTTTCATTCACAAAGGGAGACAGACTTACAGACTTGAAGTGTCTGGTTAATCCATGCATAAACTGTGTTCCTTTTCTTATCCCTCTTATTTACTCTATGTTAGGTGTGCACTCAGCAAGTACTTCCAAAGTACACACATCAGTGAACCTTTAGCTTTACTCCAGCCTGCAGTATAGGCTCTTGTCCTCTGATTTTCCAAATCAATCTGTGGCTCCACCCCTTCTGATATCATAACCTCCTGGCTCCTTCCTTGGGTAGGTTGCATTCTCAGTCCCTTAAAGGAACTTCAGAGGTTTTTGTTTTTGTTTTAATTCAAGTTAAAAATCACTGTTGTAACAGCTCCCAAGAGTTTCTTCCCTCTACAGCCCTGGCTATCTCCCTACTTACTGTTCCCAATGGCTCTTTAGCCGGAAATGGCAGGTACAATCCCTGTTTCACTAAGGTCAAGTGTAGCACTGAAGACAGAGGGGAAACAGAGGTCAGGGCTTGCTTTTTACTCTCTTCCAGCACACATCCCTACTGGGCCTCTAGAGGATCTCAGCAGGGCAGGAACAGACCAAGCCTGTTCCAGAGTGGCTACAGAAATGCCTACATACCATGTTCAATCTGACAGGGGCACAGGGAGTAAGAAGGGCCTTATCTAGATTATTTAGTGAACAAAGAGAGAGGTGCTGTGTATTCATGAAATATAGCCTCTCCAAATGAGGTAAATACTTCTTTCACAATGAAATCACCTGAAGGTACTTCATGGAGTGTTTCAGCAAAAGAAGTACCAAGGTTTAGAAATGATTAAAATGCCACATGTTTGTTCAGTGAGACATGTATACTTTGAATAGCATTACTGTAAACCATTTATTTATGAATATTGATTCCCCACATTCACAGTCCTGCCAGTTAATAAACTTCAAGTGAATCTTTGAGTCTGTCTTTTTACCATGAGAATTACATGGAAAATCATCCAATGTTATCAAAGCACATTGCCTTCACAGCTTCTGAAAGCCTTGGCTTATTGAAGAATAATTTACACATAAGTTTTACCCACCTTTTTTACTTTGTGTATGAATGCTTTGTCTGTGTATGTTTGCACACTAGTTGTGTGCCTGGTCAGGAGAGGTTATAGGATCACCTGGAACTTGGAGCCACCTTGTGGGTACAAGGTACCAAACCCAGATTTTCTGCAAGAGTAACAAGTGCTCTTAACTATTGAGGCATCTCTCCAGCCCCAAGATAAACACGTTTTGTTTTGTTTTGTTTTTTCTTTCTTTTTAATGTGCATTGGTGTTTTGGCTACAAGTACTTCTATGTGAAGGTGTCAGATCCTGGAGTTAGACAGTTGTGAGCTGCCATGTGGATGCTAGGGATTAAACCCTGGTCCTCTAGAATAGTAGTAGGTGCTTTTAATCTCTGAATCCTCTCTCCAGCCCCCCACACCCATTTATGTGTGAAGCTTGAAAAATACACTTCTTATAACCTGTACCCACAGAATATATAGAGCAGATATGCTGTCACTGGGAATTCTAATCCAAGCATAATTACCTTAATGTGGCAATGATGGATCTTCCACAGGTATGTGATAAGGTTTTCATAATAATCACTGCATTGTTTTAAACAAGCTATAAGGATTCTCAACTGTAATCCAGACAGGATAGTAGGTACAGTGAGCCTCCACCCAGCTTTGGAAGTTATATTGGTGTTTGTTTGTTTGTTTGTTTGTTTTTGTTACTGGTTTTATGGTGTTAGAGGCAGACCTCAGGGCCAAGTATCCCACCTCTGAGCTACACCACTTAGCCCCAGGTTCTGCAATTATGAACCGATGATCACTTGTTTTCTATAAATATTTGTTTTTCTAAAAGATTTTTAAAAATATATAAGTACAGCATAATTACTAAGCCTAAAACATCTATTTGGTAATTTAAAAAAGGCAGCTTGCTTAGAGTTGTAGGAAATAGTCTATTGAATCTCTTCTTCCCTGTTTACTGATTTGTCAGGGGACTACTTAAAAGCATCCAAACACGCTAGACCAAGGTCATCCCAGGGTATAATGTTCTCCAAGAAGTGCTCTTTTGTTCAAAACAAGTTGGGGATGTGTCTTTATAGGAGAGATTTGCAAGGGCTGAAATAAAAGTTCTTTCTTAGGAACTTAAAAAGAAAAAAATCCCTTTGGGAAAATGCTTATGTGCACTGTATTAGGAAAGAATTTCAAGACTGACAAATTACTAGTTATGAGAATGGGAGAAAGGAGCTGAAGGCTGAGGCTACCTGGTTCAGTAAATGTGGTGCTTTTCACACACAGGAGACCCAGGCCCAACAGAATAACAAGCACTGAGCTATTCCCAGGTTTCTGTGGACATCCTGCAGAAGTGTGGTTGACAATTCAGGAGTTCACGAGTGTAACTGGAATTAACCAGTTAAATGAGACAACATGGCAGCTACAGACCTAACATTAGAGGTGTCTCAGCAACAAGCAGCCTGACAAAAAGAGGGGTGAAACCAGGAAACATTATAGGAGCCAGACATTTGTAGAAGGTGTGGTTGCATGCATTTTATTCTTTCAAATAAAATGTCCAGAAGACATTTTAGAGAATGACCAGTGGAGGATACTGGTGGGAACGTAGATTAGCTACAAATGGGCATGAGGGATCTTACTCAGATGAAAGTGGTCTAGAACTGACCCATGATGATGGATGAACCTGTCAGTAATTACTAAACACTACTTAAGAGTGTTGGATTTATGACATGTAAAATACACTTCAATAGCAGTACTTAAAAACAAAACAAAACAAAAAAACAGTAACAGCCCAAATCACATCAGCTTAAGCAAGATGCTGAAAGGAAGGTATTTTCTCCTTGATGCTTGGTCATTGGTGACCAGGGTTAGAATGCAGGGAAGGGAGTGAAGGGACTAAGGGACAGTAGGTGGGGAATCATAGAGTGGTGTGGGTAACTCATGGCAGGTACTTGTTTATGAAATGAGAGGAAAAGAGTTTGTGGGGGTAAAGACTGGGGTTAAGTTTTTCATTTTTTAATGTGGTGGTTGTTAGATCTCAGTTTTTGATAGGGACAATGGACTTGCTGCAGATAGCAGTGGTAGACTGGGGGATATGTAGCTTGGGTGCCACAAAGAAGCCACTCCCCTTTGCCCCACAACTGGGCACCACAAAAGAGAATTTCCCATCTGGCTTCTGCTCTTGAATATGGGCTGAAATTGAGACGTGCCAGGTCATCAAGGACATAGGTTTACTCCAGTTCTCCAAACTCAAGCATCTTTCTGAGCCCTTTACCCTTCCTACTCAGCAGCACCCCCAACTTCTAATCTTTGAAGCTTCTTCTTGGCCCCAGTCAGGATCAGCTGAGATTCCCATTCTGTGGCTTTACTCAGGATTGCCACCACAGCCTAGAATGTCCCTTGCTACTTGCTCTTCATCTGTTATCAGAGAAGACGTGGCAGGTGGAGTGTGCCAGAAATAGGAACTACTTCCTGCTCAATTATCTACTCAGTGTTAGCAACCTAGTTATCATCAGGTCGCAAAACTAAGATTCATTTCTTATCAGCCAACAGCCAGAATTGGTTACCCAAGACCTTCTGTTTTAACATTCCGTCTGGCTAATTCAACACTACAGAACTCAAAAATACCCAAGTATAATCTTTTGATTGCAAACAGTGATGGTTATATTATTTTTATTCCCTGGAGTAAGGTGCTGCTTCTCATTGGCCAATGAAGTTCAAGCTTCAAGGGACTGAGGATTTTCTGCTGTGGTCCCGGCACCAGTGACAACTGAGACCATTAAGGAAGGTGGTTCTGAACAGACTGCTCGTGCCAGCAAGCTCAGGTGCAGGCCCTTCACATGGTGACCCATTCTGACTTTCCCTTTGGCCTGAAGACTTCAGCTTCTCATTGTGAATTTCAGACTTTGGGGTATCATGAGCTCCAGGATGGTCCCAGTTAATGCCTTCAACCATTCACTACAGGGTCTTCTGAGATCTAGTGCTCATTACTGTTCTGATCTCAATACTGACTGGAGGCTTCACCAAGTAAGCAAAGCTCAAGCTACCTTCTGTTTCTGTCCAGTACATGCAGGAAGTTCTCTATAATCGTTTCCCAAATAAGCTTGGCTCTGTCCTGCTCTATAGGCACTGCATATACTGGGCCTAGGCAGTTCGTAAAGATTTACTGTGCATCCCCTTGCTTTCTGGGGTTTTCTTTGGGGATGCAGACTTTGAAACTCTTCATTCCACACCAGGACAGATGTACTTCCAGGTCAAGCTCCATACCATCTTCCCCTGGGAGGAACCTACTCTTGCTGCCCCGAGTGAATAGACTATGTACTGCACTAAATCCCAGCCCCGGGCCTTGGCTCTGGCCTGGGGCCTCATTCACAAAGAGGCAGACGCTAAGTTTCCGTTAAGTTGTAGGAGTTTATTTTAAATAACCTACAGTTGATTAAAAGGGAATTCATGATAAAAATAGAAGATACTTGAGGAAAGATGTGGGAATGGACTCTGCACACACACTAAACTAACAATGCCTCTAAAACTAATGATTATAGCAAAAATGTCTTCACATTAAAATTTTGCTTTTTATGGTTTTTTTCCATTTTTTACACAATTACAAAAGAAAAAAATAAAAGCCCTAAAATCTTGATTATTTTTTCTTTTTGTTTTTGTTTTTTTTTTTTTTCTTGGACCAAATGCTCATTTTCCTCAAAATTTATTGACCTGTGGAAGTTTTTATACAATAAAATCTTTCAAATGAAAGACTGGGGTTTCCAAAGAAAAAGATGGATCTCTTAAAGGGTACATAGAATGCTCAGAACAAAGGATGATGGGAAAATGGTTTCAGTCACTGATTATTTCATTATCCTTAGACTCACTCGCCCTTCATCCCTCCCCAACCCCAAGCTACACGATCTTTAAGATCAAGAAGAAGGCTTAAATATTTTAAAATAATTAAAAAGAAATAAAAATTCACATTTAAAAAGGAACACTCAAGTCAGGAAATATTTTCCCATCATGCTTTTCTGTGAATAGGTGTCTGAACCAAAACACTGCCGATGTCACAACTGCTTCAAGTTTAATGAAAACTGATTCCCATGACAATAGAGTGACAACTCTAATAGGTGCGCTGGGTTTTTGTTTTGTTCTACTTAATTTTAAGTTCCTGAAATAGGGGAGAGGAGGGAGTTTAGGAATTCGTTTCTATTAAAATATAGAAGTTATTGCAAAACCCTAACTGTAAAAACGCACCAATATAATCAGACTTCGCATACAGTAGCTGAGAGAATCCAAACATTGCAGCAAAACTGAATTTGCCTGGCAGGATGCTGACAAATTCCCATCCACTTGCTCTCTTGAAAATAAAAACAAAGTTCAAAACAAATCATACAGCTAGAATTTTGATATCTGAAATATTTTTAAATAAGTTGTCCATAGGACAACTGGCTCAGCTCTCCCTTATAATATCTCCAGGTCTATCTTTTTGCAAAGATGTTGGTTTGTTAAGACTTGAGGCCTCTCCCTCGGTGTGAGGGCAAGCGAGGCTCAGTTTATCCATCTTCCCCAAACCACACTGTTCCTTTTCACAGAACCCCTGCCGGGCAAGACTGGTCAAAACTCGTAGTCCTCATCTGTCATATCGATGGCCCAAGCAAACTTCTCCCTCTGGGTTTTGTTGTAAATCTTCTCAATTGGGACTCCCCATTTCTTGCACCTACAAAAAATAAAGATGGAGACAAGAAAGGAAATTAGCGTACCTCAATAATAGCCCACAGCAGGGGTCTGGTGCACCAAAAATATTCAAAGGACTTTATTTCTAATCACTTCATTTTATTTCAACAGAGATCTCTAAAGTAGATGTTACTACAGATATACACGCAAAAAAGGTAGACTTTAAACAGCAACCACGCAGAAATGGTACATAGCAGTGTCCTCATACCACCGGAAAGTGCAGCTGCATTTTACACTAAGCAGTTTGTTGGCCACTAGAACACTACTTCTCAAGAGTTAACCCAGGGATGGTGAGATGGTTCAGTGGATGTCCTGACTCATTTTGGTGTTCAACTCGATACAGGTAGAGTTATCAGGGAAAGGGAACCTCAATAAGAAAATGCCTACATTGGACTGCCTTTGGGAAGATCTATCTATACAGCAATTTCTTGACTAATAATTGGTCTGAGATGGTCTAACCCAGAAAGCAGGCTAAGTAGGCTACAAGGTAGTAGGAGCAAGGTAGTAAGCAATATTTCTCTGTGGTGGTCTCAGTTTCATTTCCAAGTTTCAAGGAATTCCAGTTTCCAAGGAACATATACTTGTGCCTTGAGTCCCTTCCCTGATTTCCCTCAGTGATGGGAGTATTTTACACGAGAGTTGTACATGAGTGTGTGTGTGCAGTGTACGCGCGTGCGCGTGCAGACACACACAAATGAAAAAAGAAAATTAACCCTCTAGCAACACAAGCACAAAGCTGGGTCTCTAGTCTAGAACTCAACAACTCAAGCTAATTAAACATCTTCAGAAATGATCTACTTGTTTGGATGCTATTATATGACTGTATATGAAAGAATAAGGAGGGGGGGGGAATATGTATCCACACACAGTAGAGACTCTGTGCCTTTGTTGAATGGTCTCTTTACCTCTGTGTAGGTTACTTGGGTTTATGTTCTCAGTTTTTTGCCTTGCCCTCCTTCCCTTTTTGTGTTTTTGGAATTTGTTCTTGTTTTATTTTTGAAACAGGGTCTTTCTATATAAACCTGGCTTACTTCAAACTTTCATAGCTCAAACTGCTTTTATCTTCTGAGTGCTGGTTATAGGCATCCTTACTTTGTTCATATGCAAAATTTCACTGAGAGGATTGGACAGACAGCTGTTTAACTTGTAAGTCTTGCTGAGGACCAGAATTTGATTTACCATGTTTCAGTTTTCCATAACCATCCATTTCCAGGAGAACCAACATGTTCTTTTGGCATGCTCAGGTAACAGGTAACAGGCATAAATGAGGTGGGCTTGATGTGGTAATGTACACCTTTAGCACTCAGGAGGCAGATCTCTGAGTTCAAGGCCGGCATGGTCTACACAGATAGTTCAAGGCTAGCCAGGACTACTTAGTAAGATGTAATCTAAAAAAGTTTTGTTTTGTCACTGCAACGTTTTGTTAAAATAGATGTGAATGGACCCTTCTATTTTCCATCATAAAGGCCTAGGAAAGTCCATTCTTGTCACACCCACCTTCTCAGATAACAGAAGACTTGGAGATGCACAGTTGGCAAGAACAATTGTGTGAAAGCAGGATATAAGTTTAGGCCCCCAGTACCCATGGGGAAAATCAGGTGTGCTTTGAGCCACTGTAATCCCAGCCCTATAGGGTAGAGTTTGAGACCCCCCTGTCTCATGGAACCAAAACACAGTGATAGAAAGGATAACAGATGTACTCCACTGGCCTCTGCAGGCATGGGCTCCTGCACATACATAGGCCATTGAGACCATCTATTATATTTCACTGTACCTACATACAGGGCTTAACTTGAGCAGCAGGCTCTCCTGGAAGAAATGTAAACTTAGACATGGTATGAGAAAGATGGCAATACTCGGAGACTTTCTGCCTTTTCTGTAAGTAACAGCAGTAGCTCTACATAGGCCTAATACTTACCAAGCCACTGTGATCCTAGGGTCCAGATAATTGAGTTTAGAGGTTCCCAAGGCAATTTGTTTATTCTCCTCTCGATCTGTGGCTTGAACTTCCAGCTTCATCAGCTGTTCTTCCAGTCTCTGTACAGCCTTCTTTTTTGACTCTACTACCCTAGAAGAATGGCAGAATCATTATATATTAAGACTGACTTCTGGACAAGAACAAATAAGTAGCTTCCCATACTGCTTAGGAGAAAAATCATGAAAAATTTCCCCAAGAAACTTTTGAAAAATGCTGAGTATGGTGGTTTATTCTGGGAAGCTAAGAGAATCACGACATAAAAGATGGCCAAGGCCACATAATGAAACCCTGTGAGCTGGGACACCCATACCCCTGAGTGATGATGCCAACTGTTCTCTCTTATTCAGCCCTGGGTACATTATCAGATACATACTTCTTGGTTTTTGCATCCTTCATGACTTTGGCGTCAGCCTTAGCACTTTTCAGGTCCCTTCGAGCATCTGCTAGCTGATCTTTCTTGGCATCAATCTAGGTAGAGAAAAACAGCAGTAAACTTAGGAGTAAAACAAGCCAGAGAGGAAAAAGGGCTCCATCTTAGAATGTAGAACTGGAAGTTGTCAGTGTTTTCAAAAAGGCTTTATGAAGATAACAGATAGACAGTGACTGTAGAAAACAATCCAATTGCTATTTGCTGCTCATTTATGTTTTTCAGTGAATATTAAGCAGTGTAAGGTTCTGTAAGAGTAACATAAAATCTGGATGTAATCGCTGAGGAAGACCCAGATGACAGCTGTTATCAAATGAATCCTATGCCAGGCTCTAGTATTCCTTTGCTGTTTGTTTGCTAGTTAGTTAGTTAGTTAGTGAGACAGGTTCTCACTTTGTAGCCTTGGCTGGCCTAGAACTTGCTATATAGACCAAGCTGGCCTTGAACTCAGATTTGCCTGCCTCAAATGTTGGAATTATAAGTGTGGGTCACCACTTTTGGCCTTTAGCATTACTTCTGAGTATAATGTACGAGACACTAAATAGAAACATAGATACACATATCTACTAAGCAAGCCAAGATCATTAATTGCCAGCTTTGGGGAAAAGGATGCACTGAAGAAGATATCCAGAAAAAAACTAAACAACAGCAAGTACACATCAGTTAGGAACTGCCTAGCCTTTGCTTTGTTTCAGAAAGTAGAGAAATCTAAAAGTAGAGAAGATAATTAGTCATCATTCAAATAAGAGAGATGTGAAAAGCATCAACTGAAGATTTTCCTCTACAAAGGAAATCTTATGGAATCCATATTTATAAAGAAGAGACAAAAAAACTCTCATCCTTTCTTGCTTGTTGGAACCCTTGAAAAGCTGTGTTCTGCTCTGGGTGTTGCTTACAAGAGCAGTAGGCAATAACCATGATGCTGCAGATAAAGCAGATAAGTGATGTTGGATTTCAAAGAATCCCATCACTGTGATCACCCTGATGGGTCAAGAGAATATCCCAGAGTAGACTTAAGACACATTGGGTTGTTATTGACTGAGCCTAAAACATATACATACAAAACGCAGCCCAAAATTAGAAATAGTCTACCACTGTGAGAGAATCATTAAATATGTCTCACTGTTAGTGGCTTCCTTCCAATATGTATGTTGTTCAAAAAGGTACTAGAACTGACCCTGTACACAAAAGCATCAAAGCCACCA